CAGCGCTCACGCCGCGGCCGGGGGAAGGCGTCCGCTGGGCCACGGGGCCCGAGGTTGCCGGGAGGGGCGCGTTGTCGCCGCAGCGGTACAGAAGTGCTTAGGGATGAGCTGATGGTTCCTTAGCGCCCACACAAGGGTCAGGAGCTGACTCCTGTCATTTAGCTGCTTCCTGTAGGGAATTCCCTCTCGTAACGCCCCGTTCCGCTCCAAACCCAGCGGCGCAGGTAACAGCCGCGACGGCGAGCGGTGCCAGCTAACCCCGGCCTCACGGAAAACGCTGCGTGTTGGTACGGGAACGCGGGCAGAAGGCTCAGACCCCTCCCCTGCGGGTTTCTGAACTGCGCGCTGCGTGAGTAACGGCCCGGTTGCTGCGCAGGGCAGAGCCGGTATAAATACAGCCTTTTGTTCTTAAGGTGAGGCGAAAGCACTCAGCCGGTAACCGACTTCCCTCCAGACCTTGATCTGTAAACTGCATGACTGATAATCTGAAAACCCACTTTCTAGTTCTTTTGGGATGATCCAGCTACTACAGCATGGGATCAGATCGCTCCAGCTGAAGGGCTGGACTGTCACTTTCCATCTGTGATTTAAATCCCGCGCCTGCTTGCCTTAGGTGGTTTTCACTTTGGACAGCAGTGATACACCCGAGGAGTCGGTGTGGTGTGCCAAGAAGGAACCCGCAATGAAATCTCATGTAGGATTTCGCATGCTGTTCAGACCGTGGTGGTTCTTCAGCGGAGCTGCCTTTTACCAGTCTTTGCTGCACAGCAACTGGAAACCATTGATGGGGAAGAGTACCTCGTGCCAGGTGGTTGAGCGCAAGAGCCTGGAGTGGGTGTGTGTGACAGGACCGGAGTTTCTCTCAAATTAGAAGGCTGCTTCTGCTTTTATTTTGAATAGGTTGGCGCCTTGATCAGCGTCTGAGCTAAATGGCACATCAGGCAAGCCTGAGCCTGTCTTAGTCCTGCCACAGTTCACTGTTACTTGCAGCTGAATGGATGCTTTTTAGAAAAACTCTTCCAGGAGTAAGACTTAACCTGAGGGACTTGTCCCAGGTCTTGTGTTGTTTTACGCTTCTGTACAGTTCGGGTTGTTCTTTGGAAATCCTGCGAAGGAAATGCCCTTCGTTTTCCACCTCTTCTTGGCAATGGAGCTGAGCTTTGCTGTGTGGAAAGCGAGTTGCTGGTTCTGGGCGCTTTGGTAGCCGAAGTGAGGCAGAGTGGGAGAGAGGTGCGCTGCCAGAGCTGGGGAAGGGCAGGAGAGACAGCGTATTCGGGGCTGTAACGAGGCTGGAGGAGTTGAGGTGGCAGAGCTAGGTGAAGACACAAGTGTCCTTCCATTATGCTTCACAGCACTGTTACCTTGGCATTCTTAATGGCTCCTTGTATCCAGTGGTGAAAAGAAGGCTGTCTGGCATGTTTCAGACTGGTGTGGGTTTTGGGGCGGGCTGGAAAAGCTAGGCTACCCTGGCAGATTGAGGGGGGATTCTCTCTAAATGACAAAACCAAAGCAAAGTCACCAGCTCTCTGAAGGGATTCTCTTTTAACCATGCTCTCTCAGGCATGTGTCTCGGCATAATTCTCGCCTCATTAGCTGGGGCAGAGCTGCTGATGATTCAGCAGCATAGAGCCAGAAGGCCCCAAGTTTCATTTCAACAACAACTTGTATTAAGGGAAGAGTAGTGCCAAGAAGTCCACGCACTGTGCAGCAGGACGGTGAAAGAGCAGAGACCACTGAAGCAGCAAGCAGATGCAGCCCACTTGGAGGCATTTCCCACTACAGAGGAGCACAGAGCAGCTGTCCCTCTCAGCTCACTCTTAATGGTGTACTGGAGACCTGGAGTGTGAGTTAGATCTGCAGACTAGGGATCAGGAATGTGAAGACTCGCAGAGCTGCCATTCAGTACTTTTTTGACCCCGAGGATATAGTTTAATGGCAAACCTAACCAGCTACAACTGCTTGCTGCCACAGAAGGGCTTTTCCTCCTCTTGTGTTTCCTGCCTGAACAGCTCCATCACCAGTGCTTCCTACAAGCTGAGTCAAATCAGTGGTAAATTTATCCAGTGAAGCAGTTCTTCAGCAGGGCTTAAGGTTCTGTGGGATCAGGTGTTGCAGTAGCACACAAGGAGTGTGGTCAATTAGTCGATCCAGTGGAAGAAGCTGAGATGACTCCATAGACTGCCATTAAATTGTACCGAATGAGGGATAATGTGAACCAGAACACGGGTTTCTCTCACAAGTTGGGTGCTGGGGACAACATCACAGGGGAGTGTCAACGCGGTGCCAGCACCTGAATGTGGTGGTGAACTAGTGGAGTCTCCTGCAGTCAGGGTGGCTGACGTGAGACCTCTCTGAAGTAAATGCAACTGTTAGCTTGTGTGTACTGTGGCGTGGCTCTTGTGAAGTGCTTTACAGACAGAAGGCTTGCACGCTGAGCACAGCTGCCAACCAACACCTCACCTGCTGAAATTCTACTTTACTGGTACAGTGTTAGGTACAGGTGGAAGTCCAGGAGTGAAGACTGGGGTGCAAATTTTAAGGCTGCAAGTGCCTAGATTAAAAAGAACTACAAGCAAGTCAAAGGATGCAACACAGTCTTGTGTCCTGGTGTAGCCCGTCAGTGACTAAGCACCACACAGTCACTCAGTCACCTCTCCCCTCCCCAGTGGGATGGAGAGAGAATTGGAGGAAAAAGATAAGAGAACTCAAGGGTTGAAATAGCAACAGTTTAGTAATTGAAAAGAAGTGAAATTATAATAACTAATAATAACAATAAAGTGTAGACTAATGATAGTATGTAATTAAAAGAAAAAAAAAGATACAGCTGCTCACCACTGGCTGATGGATGCCCAGCCAGTCCCCCAGTAGTGATTCCCCTCCTGGCCAGCTCCCCCAGCTTGTACACTGAGCAGCATGAAATGTCCTTTTGGTCAGTATGGGTGAGTTGTCCGGCCTGCGTCCCCTCCCAGCTTCTTGCAGAGATGAAGCTGGGAACACGGGCACAATATCGGAAACAGAAAAAGTCCTTGGCTTGATGTAAACCTCCCTTAGCAACAACCAAAACCAACAGCTTGTTATCAACATTCTTCTCCACACAAACCCAAAACATGGCCTCATACTAGCTACTGTGAGGAAAACTAACTCCATCCCAACTAAAACCTGCACGTCTCAAGACCAGGAAGAGGAGGAAATGGGAATACTGCAGACTACAGTAGGCTGAACAATGATCTGTGAATTGAACTACTAAAATAAGAAGATGGGGCTGCCCAGGCAGGAGTTCTGATGATTTCCTGTGACAAGGGAGTCTTGGGGGTGTTTTCCCTATTTCTGCACTGTCGGTCATCCTGCTGCTCTGAAAGATGTTACTGTACTGCGAGTGGCAGAGGAGCAGAACATGTGTACTAAAATCTTCCAGTAAGCTGTGCAGAACATGAGTGCAAACCTGTCCTCAGCAGGTAATGATTGCTGATCTCTAACTGGGGTAACCGAGGGCCAGGAAACTGCTTCAGCTTTTGAAGCTGCGTTTAACAAGTCTGCTAATGCCCAAAGGGAGAAAGAAGAAACCTGTGCTTCACAGATCAAAACTGAATCAAAGCAATTTCTGACAGCTTTATAAAGCTGCATTTTTACTTGAGGATTACTCTTCACACTCTATCCTTACCTTAAGAGCAACTAGATAGATATTTTCTGATCCCAGTTCACTTTCTGGCCAGTGGCAGCTTTCTTGCCAGCATTCTAGTGCATGTAGTGACTGTATCTGATGTACTGGGATGACACACTTAATGCTAGTGAAGGGAAGAAGTTACTTCCAAGGGAAAAGATCTTAACCTCTTATCAGAAATGCTTGATTCAGCATCCAGGCAGAACTGCAGTGAAGACAAGTTTGTAAAGGAGAGAACTAGACATCCCTGGGATGTATTAGTAAATGAAGGTATTCTCAATTCTTCCTCCCATTAAGTTCCTTGAACTTTCAAAGATTAATTAGGAGGTAGAAACTTCAGCGAAGTTTCTAATTACACCTATTTAGGAATGTTTAAACAATTTTTGTTATTGCTATTTTGCCCAGTGATGGTTTTGTCTGAACAAATACTGTCAGCTCTCTGGTTTGTTACTGTTAAGTACCAACTGAAGATCTGTGTCTAGAAGAGTAAATAACAAGTAATGCAGTTAAGTGCCAGTATTTTTTTTTACTTATCTTGACTGTAGAATGCCCAATACTGCCTTAACAACCAAAGTATTTTATTTGGGGGTCTTTCCAGTTGTTTCATAGTTTCTACTTGGAGTTTCTGCTGTCCTGTTTAATGTTGGCTCACAAGCCTAAGGGTGCAGCTAAAGACCTTGCTGTTACCTTGTTTAGATGAGGCTGCAGTGAACTGCAACACTGTTTGAATATGTCTGTAGAAAGTACTACTCAATACTTAGTTTCTTTGCTCTATATTCTCTTCAACACAGCTGGTGAAAATGGCTGAAAACGGAGATGGTGAGAACATGTCTATTTTGGAAAGCAAAATCTGTCAGCAAATTGAGGTAAGCTCAGTTTATAGTTTGGGATCTGGACTGATGGGTGGCTTTGGAGACATTCACTGCTTAGGGACTGGGCTAATGGGAAGTTAATTTCACAGGGAGTTAGACTGGAATCTTGAGCTCTTGAAAAGAATTGTCACAGGTCTGTGAACAGGTATTTAATACTCCCACAGAAGGTTTAACTTGCTGGTGTTTTAGGTACTGTAGCAAGGGAATATATTGTTAATCAACTTATTACTATGTTCACTGGGGTTATCCCTATCTGTGCAAATAGGGAGATGCATTTTAATGCTATATGACTTCATTTTATTGGGGAAAATACCCTCCCACTTGGGACTCTGTGCTGGTCAAAATACTAGCACATTGCACAACTTTCTATTATGATGTACTGCTTTGTAATTTATTGCTACAAATGACAACGGAACTTCTGTGCTTACTTTAGATTAACTGTTTGTCACTCTAGAGGCTTGGAGGGTTACCCTACAGTGGAAACCTGAGCACATGACTTAAAATGACATCTAAACCAAAACTTTTCCTGGAGGACAAAACCACAATTGTGCGTGAATCCCAGTTAGCATATGGAGCTGCAGTGATTATTTAGGGGTGGGGGAGAAATTTGAGGAAGAAGAGTTGACAAAGCTAGACATATGGTAATATGAGTTTGAGGTATACTAGAGGGAAAGGTATTGCAGAATCACAGACTGGTTTGGGTTGAAAGGGACCTTAAAGATCATCTAGTTCCAACCCCCCTGGCATGGGCAGGGACACTCTCCACTAGACCAGGTTGCTCAAAGCCTCATCCAGCCTGGCCTTGAACACTTCCAGGGATGGGGCATCCACAGCTTCTCTGGGCAACCTGTTCCAGTGCCTCACCACCCCCTGTGGGAAGAATTTCTTCCTGATAACTAATCTAAATCTACCTGCTTTCAGTTTAAAGCCCTTGTTGTAAAACCTGCACTGACTTTTTAAAGCACAGTGATATTGGTGGAAAGGCTTCAGTTTAGAGACCTAGAAACTCCAGCCTACATGTACGATTTCTCTGGGTGGCAGATACAATATTCTTACATGTTCCTTAATTAAGGACTGAAACCTGAATCTGTTGGTGACAAGATCGACTTTTGACTCTGTGGAGCTCAGTCTGATGAATAATTATGTTAACAGCATAAACTCCAGCCTTTCCTAAGCCAAACTACCTTTGCCACACAAGCCCCGTTGCATGAAGCGCTTTATTTTTTAGAGCTCATGCATGCAGCTAACTTTTCCCAAAGTATCACTTTTAAAGCAGAAAGTAATCATTTCAGAATTTTTAATAGTTCAGATTAATGAATTTTGGTATGTCTCAATGCGCTGCAGTAAGCTGTCAGATGTAAATGAGCTTTTAAGACTGAACATTCAAAGACTAATCTCTGTCCCCACCCTCCTCTCCCTTCTTCTTTTGCAGTACTATTTTGGCAATCACAATCTACCAAGAGACAAGTTCCTAAAGGAACAGATCAAACTAGATGATGGCTGGGTGCCTTTAGAAGTAATGATCAAATTCAACAGGTAAAACTAAGTACAACGAATCACAGAACTAATCTGGATGGAAGGGCAGCTTTCAGCCACTTACCTCTATTTGGGGCCAAATGTCCCTGGTCTGCATGTACAACTCCTGCTGCTGTTTTAACATTTGGCTTCAGCTTTGCCTGTGTGTTTGGAATAACCTGTGTCTGCTTACTCAACAGGTTAAGTCGCCTTTCAAAAGATTTTAGTGTTATTGTAGAAGCACTAAGAAAATCCAAGACTGGTTTAATGGAAATAAATGAAGACAAAACTAAAATCAGAAGATCTCCAAACAAACCCCTTCCTGAATTAAATGACCAGTATAAGGCTGCTATTAAAAACAGATCTGTATATGTTGTAAGTAAACTCCTTCCTTTGCTCTGTCCTGTTCTGCATGACTTTGACTGAAAACCATTTAGGTGAAGCTTGAATTAACTCAGCCAAAGATCGGTTGTAATTTCTGACAGTTTGTGGCATGTAATCGAAACTTGTTGCTCTCTTGCAGAAAGGCTTTCCACTAGATGCAACTCTTGATGATATCAAAGAATGGCTTGAGGATAAAGGTCCAGTTGAAAACATTCAAATGAGGAGAACACTGCAGAGAACGTTTAAGGTAGCTCTGGTGATGAACAATTAGACCTGGGGCAGGGGTCCTCCCAGACAACATTCTGTTCAGTTCCTCCAACAATGAATGTCTCTTGCCATTTAACAGGGCTCAATATTTGCAGTTTTTGATAGTGTTGAATCTGCTAAGAAGTTCACAGAGATCCCAAACCAGAAGTACAAAGACACAGAGCTGATAGTACTCTTCAAGTAAGTCCACTTAACTGATGTAATAACTAATAATGGTCGAAGGTGCATTTAGACGAAAGCCTAAATTTTGACCGGCGAAGTCTAAGTTTCTACGCTGTTGTACAGCTGTTGATGGTGTACCTTATGGAGACTAGCATCTCAGCTCCCACAGACAACCCCAACTGCTTCCTGGCTAATGCTGTCTTGATAAAGTAATTATAATGGAATACTTTAAGTGGTAGTAACTTAGCTTCTGTTCTGTTGAAGGGAGGAATATTGTACAAAGAAGAATGAAGAAAGGAAACAGAACAAAGTAGAAGCTAAAGCAAGAGCTAAACAGTAAGTCAATATCAACTGAAGTGCTTGGTTTTGCTCACCTGACCAAACACACCTGAACCAACTCTTAACTAATTTAACTTTTCCACAGGGAAAAAGAAGAAAAACAGAAACAAGCAGCGGATGCTGAAATGGTAGGGGTTTATTAAATCACTATACGTGAAAACTGTGTGGTGCTTGCTCTGGCATGGATTTTCAGTCTACGCATAACAAACATGCTTCTGCAGCTACATGTTGTAAAGCTAATGTGGGATATTCAGAGTTTGCAAATCTATAGTATGGAACACTTTCTAGAAAGTCACCTCAGCTTTTCCAACTAACCTACAGTAAGACTTTTTTTTCTGATGGTATTTAATCTTATTTTCAAGAGACTAGTTTTGTTTAAGGGATTATATCCTTAATTTAAATTATTAGGCATGTTGACCTGTTTAGGAGTAATCCCAAATGCACCGTTGAGATAATTTTCCTGTGGTATGTAAAGGATCCAGTAAAGATTTAATCAGTATTAGACAGATTTTTCAGCCTGAGGTGTCAGCCTTCAGAAAACTGTTCTGTAGAATTTAAAGAGCATAACTTGCTTATGGGAAAGGAGCCCTAAGTTCCATGTAAATGAATCACCTTAAGCAAAGAGAATTTTACAAAGGAAAAAGAAGAGAGGGACACAGACCATCCAAGACCGGGACATCGGCATAAATAAGCTGTGTAGCCAGAATGGTTACTGATGGTGCTTAGGGGCATGACTGCAACTGCTTATTTAACAGCCTTATGGTTGAGGGTGGGGGGGAATAGTCAAGCTTGCTTCTTCAACAAACGTGGGGATTTTTATTTCATTCAGAAGTCTCTGGAAGAAAAGACAGGATGTCTTTTGAAGTTTTCTGGCGATCTAGATGATCAAACATGTAGAGAAGATCTCCATGACGTATTTTCTGATCACGGAGAAATCAAATGGATACACTTTGTCAGAGGTGCGAAGGAGGTCAGTATGATCTTAGACAAGGATCTTAATATCGCCATAATAAGGTTTGAAACGGAATGATTAAATGCTTGTTCTCTTACGTAATCAAATGAGAATCTGATTTGTGGAATTGCAGCATATTTAGAGAATGAAGTTATTCCCTTAAATACTTTCAAAAGAACAGATAAAGGTTCCAGCCCTTCTCAGTTGGTAAGCTCAAAACTGAGCCTGTTTGTTAGGACAGTCTGAAGGTTCTGCTTCAGTCTAGACATATTTTATGTCCTGCAAGAGTAATGAACTTGCCAGGTATCCAACAGGATGTTGAACTGAATGTTTTCACAGTAAGATTCTCATGCAAATGCCACTCTTCTTTTAAAGGGAATTATCCTATTTAAGGATATTGCAAAAGAAGCTCTGGAAAAAGCCAAAGAAGCACATAATGGAAACTTACAGCTTCGGAACAAGGATGTTACATGGGAAGTGTTAGAAGGAGATGCAGAGAAAGAAGCTCTGAAAAAAATACTGGAAGACCAGCAAGAATTGCTGAAACAGAAAGCAAAAGGTTCTCCTTTTATTGGTTTAAGCATTTGTAATGTCTTAGAAGTGGCATTGTGCGAAACGAACTGTAAATAGTGCATGTACAAAACTCCAGCTAAGTGTAAAGCCTTCTTTGGAGCTTCTAGTTAAAAGACAAATGATAAAAAGTTCCCGATGTCTTATATCCCCACAGGACGCAAAATTAAAGGAAAAGGAAGAGGGGGAAAGGCACCTCAAGGTACACAAAAAGGAAAAGTACAGTTTCAGGGCAAGAAAATAAAGTTTGAGAATGACGATGAAGGTGGTGAAGATGATACTAAAACAGGTTTGTCATTCTGTGCGCTGGATGCAGCTGCTTTAGCATGTGGAGCTACTTTCTGGGAAAATACTTGCGTTCATTACAGGTGTTTCAGATCTGGCCCTACATTTGTAGTATTTCTGTCCTCTTGTCAGTAAAATAACTTTGAGGGTCCTGTGCTCAGTTCCTTCCAGAACTGTCCAAAAGGCATATTAAAATAATTAACTAGATACCTGAGATTGTTCTGCAGGGCTGCTCAAAGCATTCTGCATTGAACGGTGGTGGTTGTCAGCAGTGTTACACCACTCTAGGCCTAGTCTCTCGAGTGCTGAATTCTTTTTCCTGAGGATATGAGAAGATTAATAGTTCTGCAGACTGGTATTTAGCTTGGTGAAGATGAAGCTTCTGTTCATTAGATATGGCACCTGCTTAAAAAAACCCCAGTGAAACCTCCTCCTGTTAAGATTGTAGTCCTTCATCTTCCTTCTTGCCCTCCTGTTGTAAAGTTATACAGGGAAGAACGAGGGTTGAGGGTTGGAACTAGGTGATCTTTAAGGTCCCCTTCAACCCAACTCATTCTGTGATATGATAAGCTCTTCAAAGTTGGTATTTTAGGATATCTACAAGCTTTAAGTCACAGTAATAAGTAAACCCTTTAGCATAGCAGTGGCTGTGGATGAACTAGGACTCATTCTTGAACTTATGTGGTAGGAGGGGTTTGCTTTTTCAGAAGATTTCAGGTAATACTGAAATCCTTTCCTTTACCCTAAGTGACTACATATTCCATCTTGCAGAACCAGCAGGTCCCAAGAAGAGACCACTAGAGGAAATGGAGGAAGAAGAACCTGCACCAAAACAACTGAAAACAGAAAACGGAGACCAGTAATACTAAAATAAAAAACCAAACCCATTATTTTTATTGTTCCATTTTCAGTAGGTTTTAAAGACATGCCTCAGTTCAGGAGATTCTTGGCAGAAAATCTAATGAAATCCACTTCAATGTCAACCTATAATGAGAGGAAATCTTCATTTTGTTGGGTTACAGCTGTTGTTTTGTTTAAGAAGCATGCTTGTTCTTAACTTACCACCCTGAAAAACTTTTATATTTATAGTTTTGTTTATACTGTCAGATCCTCTCTACTTCTCTGGCATCTTACTCAAATGTAAAAGGTTCTGGACTTTGTAATCTTGCAGTTACGTTACATAGCAGCTGCCAATAAATTCAGAACTTTAAACTGCTTACTACTGAAGCCTATATGTTAATGAAGTAGCAAAGCTGAAGGACAGACATCTGTCGTTTTAAGTTCAAGCCACCAAGGGAATAGGTAGAGCTGAATAGAACTTCTAGTCTTTGCTATTCAACATACCTAACAGTCTTCAAATCCTGCTCATTCTACTCCAGGATGCTCTCTACTTCCCCTGTGGTAATGGGATAAATGTCCTCTAGGCCAGCCTTCAGCACCCAAGAACTTGCCTGTAGGCCTCAGCTTCCATACTCCAGCATCCTGCCTAGATCTTCTATTGTGGGATGACGTGCACAAGTTCATCCTACCCCCTCTAAGATGGTTCCATGAGGGATTTCACTGGGTGTAGCTACTTGCATAGAACAGTGAAATGATGCTGCAGCTGTGAAGCCCTGATTACTCTGGCTTTCATTATTTATCCGGTCTAAGTTCCAGTTGCAGATAAGACTGACACAAATTTTAATAGGTATTTGCTTGACACCACCTGTAGCTTTTTCAGATCTAGTTGCAGTGCTGGCCTTAACCTTTGTGTACAGCTCTGACTTGAATTACAGTGATCCTTTTCCCTGTTCAATTACAAAATGTAGTAACAGTGCCATCACGGTGAACCTTTTAAGAGCTGTGAGCATTCCTCATCCAGTATACATGTCCCTAAAACTTAAGTTTTCTTAAGTAAAACTTCTTGAACTGATCAGTACGAGACAGCATTTCCTCAGGTATGTTAGGTTTTATACTTACTGATTTCTTCTTATGGAACTTGTATGAAGCTGGTAGGTCATACCTAAGTTCTGTGAACAGTACAAAGAATACTCATTGCACTAGAATGATATTGGTCAACTGACTTACACCCTACACCCATGTTCTATTTCTTCTGTTACCCACCTCTGTTGCCCCTGACTAGGTAACTGTTTCAACCTCTGCACTAAATAATGACTGAACATTTAAGCCAACCATGTTGTGTTTCAAACACTTGTGCAATTTCCATGTCTCGAGTTACGTGACTCTAAAGAATCCATCTGGTGATGTCTAAGCATCAGGAAGATACTTGAACAACTCAGAAAAATACCAGGATGCTTTTTTGTGTGAGAACTGACCTGTGCTGTTGTTATTCAGCAACCACCTCCTTTTGAAGCAGGAAGGTAGATACCTTCTGCCTGAGGGCAAAATCTAGTCCAGGAAGACTTGCACCATTGTCAGTGTTAAATGAAACACCTAAATTTATTTCAGGCTGTTAAAACTGGTTAGCAGTGGTATAAATATTAGCCCCCAACAAAACATTGGGTGTTTAACAACAAATCTTACCTGCTATGACTTCCATCTTCACTTCCCATTCATCTGCTTTCTTCTGAATGTGCTACAATATTAAACAGATGTGGGTAAATTTAAAAGCTGTTTTCTACACTGTCTTACAAACATCTACACCCCTGTACTTAAATAAGAAGTCTCCTGTGCTTTTGTTTTTCAAGCCAAAACATGAGATGACATCTTCATGTATGTGAGATGACAGTTATTTGATTAGTATTTACTCAAATTTCATGCCCCATAAAGGTGTGAACAAATCAGCGAAGCTATAGACACCATCATTAAATGCCAGGCCTGGCTAACGATCACCCTACTAAAATGAAGGACTTGCCTGCCGCGTTGAAGATTTGTGAAGGGAATATACAGCTGTTTTTGCCATTTGTAAAGCAGTTTTCAGAAAAATCATATCCATTCCTAGAAGAAGGTTGAAATTAGAATTGTTAAATGCAAGCTTAAACTAGAGGATTTAATATGCTTCAATTTTTCTGGAGTAATAGCTTTTTCTACTGAATACATTAATGTACATAAAGTATTTCTAAAATGTATCCAATTGCTTTCAGTAAAAGAGAAAAATGATGGGTATATGAAATAGCAAGGATTGTTTATTGCAGACCCAGCAATTGTAGGTTACAGTGTTGCAGTTGTTTATGTGTACTTGGGAGACCAATTCTAGATCAGCAAAACTATGGGTAATTGTAATAAAGAAGGGAGATGTTTCATTAAAAGTGTTCCCTTGCTATTTCATTCCTAATAATTTCTGACTGACTTCCAGATTTACCAACCTTTATTATGCTTGGTACCAAATGGAGGGTTCATAATAACTGTGTCGAAAGTCTCTGACATGCTGTCAGATAGAGAACAGACATCACACTGAACCATGTTGATGTTTGTGAGCTCAAAGTCTTCAATATTGCTATTAAATATTTCCAGTGCATCTGCATCTATGTCAAACCCCACACATAATCTATTAAAAAAACCAAGTACCACGTGTTAGTCTCTTGCAAAATAAAACTGTTCAAATTTTATAAAAGTTTTGAGAGGGATCTGTGTACACAATTTGTTTTATCTAGGAAATGTATCAAGCATACACTGTAAATTCAGTGCTGATAAAAATGCAGATAGCTCTGTTGCCCTTCCTCAAATGCCCTTTCTCAAATATCCTTTTAAAGTTTGTGAAAGAAGATTCATGTGTTCATTTAGTGCTTCGGGAGAAAGCAAGCATTATGACTTCCAAATTTATGGCATTTGCCCATTTCTTCCACTATTTGAGTAGTTACTGACTGTTTAAACATATTAAACAGCCTCATTATGCACCAGATTAGATATCAAAACTTAGTTTAGTTCCGCACTCCTATATTCTACTCTTCTATGCCAGAAAAAAACACAACCAGAACTTAGTATTAAATACTTACCCTGCTCCTAACATTGCACTTCCAATGCTGAGCATGCCACAACCACATCCTAAATCAGCAATTGTTTTGTTTTCAATATCATCAAAAGTATTGTGAATTGTATACAGCATACATGCTGGGGAAAAAAAACCCAAACACGTCAATAATATCAAATATGCATCTGATTCATCAAGAAAAGCTACTTCTGCCTTCAGAAAACTCTGAACTAAGCATTTCTTGTCATGCAAAATTCAGCTGATGTTCTCACTGCCTGTAATTCTTTTTCATTCACATGTGAAAACAAGTCAAAAACATTTATACGAGTTACAGAGCTCTAGATCGTTGGAGAAATTACACAGAGCTGTGAGTATTGTCTGTGGAAACATATGCCTCTAAAATTTTTTTCGTATTGGAAAAATATAATTAAGGTATGGTTGAGTGTCTGTATATACACTGTTACTGGTTTTTGTGTGTCATGAAGTAAGTCCTGGTCAGCTTTCTCTTTTACAGTTTAAGATGTTACTATTGCAACATTATCTTTCAAATCAATTTTACTTGATTTTTGCATTGTACATGAACAGTATACTTCTAATGAAAAGAAGTTAAAAGATTATTTAAAACTTTTTTCTGCTGGATATAATTTCTCAATGACTTGTACTGTAAAAGCTTTCAAGGGTGTAATGCAGTAGAAATTCAAGTTCAGGTGAAGAGCTGGTACAAGAGAGCGCAGTGCTGTAGGTAACCTCTACCTGCAATATGAGGTCTTGTTGGATATTGTTCAAGGAGTAGCTTTGGACTTTCAAAAGTATCAACTTGTTGAAGACAGCTTTCCAGTTCTTTAAGCTTTAATTTCTTCATGTTTGTAGCTTAACTAAGGAAAATAACGTGTAATCAGTTACAATAATATAAATAAACTACATTATCTTAAATTATTTTATAGTCGGAATCCCACTGTGCTCCCCGGCATCTCCCGGGGGATTTCACGCTGCCGCTTTCAGGGATCCCGCTGACGGCGCACGGACAAGCGCGGTGCCGCCTAACGCGGGGCCGTTCCCGGGCCTCAGCAGCCCCTTTCCTCGCGCATCGGCTG